AAGATTAACTATGGTGGTATGTAGGTAAACAGTTTGGCTTTGTAATAAGATTGTAGATGGTGCTTGAAGATCTGTAGGGAATGGGCGGCTTTGATGTTCGGTGGTAGATTGTTCCAGAGAATGACAGTGCGTGGGAAATAGGATTGTCGGAAGAATTCTTGATTATTGGAGACGATTATGTTATAGTTGTTAGGGTCGAAGTTGCGTGTGGCATAGGGGTTAGTTGCAAGTGTAAGGTATTGGTTAAAGGTGACATTAATAAGGTTGTATTTGATTTTGTATAATAGTGTTAGGTCATAAAGTTCACGCCTGTGTTCAAGTGGGAGAAAGTTTAGGGATATTAGTCTGTCTCTGTAGGTAACATCACGAGAAGGGTAGTTCAGAATGAATTTCGTTGCTCTGCGTTGAACGTTCTCTATTAATGATCAGTGGAACTTTCTCGAATTATGTGACATTACTCTCAGAAAAATAGCTTATTCATTACTTTCATTCAAAATAGCAAGACCAAAATTTTGCGATCGAATATCCGATCATGCATGCATGATATTAGCAGAAAGAAATTGTAAGAATATGTATGTGGTAGTCAAAATAGATTATATGCAGTAAATAATAGTACATCAAAGAATTTTCAATTTTCAAAAGCGTAGGCATACATGGTATCGTACCAGTCTTTGCTGATATCCATCTTGCCGATTTATCGCAAATGCGCATAAACATATCTCAAATTTCGTTCACAAATGAGCTTGCTTTCTTAAGTTTTGAACAGTAAAGTATTGAAAATGTATGCAGGTCAAATTAATTTGTGAAATAGCTGCAAAAGAAGTTTTATAATTCTACTTTTGAGCGATTGAATACAGTTTAATGTAAGGCCTGATTGAAACTCAATCCAACGCCAAATCTGAGGCGTAATCTGAAGCCTTTAATCTGCGGCTAACCTCAAGGTAGTAATAAAATTGTCATTGGAATTTTTGATCGACAAATATAAATACACCAGAATGTTGTTATAAAATAGACGAATTTTAATACATTTTGATTGGTTTGAGATGCGGAATACGAAACAAACGTGTCAATGCACCGCATACTTACGCGCATTGAGACGTGGAATGATATCAATTGAACGCTTGTTGATTTCGTGTTTAGCGGCTTTAGCCTATCGATCTTGTTGTTATCCCCCCAGCGGCGGTTTCATTTAACGGTAATAACTTCGTCGGGACTTGGGCCAACGTATTCCTTTGGCCACCAGAAGAGTAAAAGCGCTTGTCCGGTAGAGTTCTATTTGAATAAACTGCGTCTCACTGAATTATCATACTGAGTTACTCTGTTACTGACCAAATTTTCTTTAATATAACCATGATATGTCAATTCCAGCGTTCATAAACTCTTTTCTGTCACATTGTCTCAGTTCATTCGATGTCCGTAATTCTTTACAGCTCCGCACCAAGTCAAATTTTCAAATTTTCTTTCTCGGTAACAAGACATTGCTCTTTGTTGGGATATCTGTCAAAGTGAACTCCCTTATCACATTGACCTTTTTTTGTTCTGTGGTTCTGCGTGTTCGTTGTTGACATATGATTGGTCAGTTAATCTTTCAATCGGTTTTACACATGCCCAGAGAAACATTTGAACTTTGGACTATTGGATATCGCCTTTTTGTGGCTGTTGACAAGCTTATCCTGTTACTATGAGGTTATAACCAGGTTTGAAGGTGACAAACGTGTTGTCTCATTAACTTGAATTTATATATTGTTATATATAAATTTGCTTATGTAGCATGAACTGTTGCTATGGCTAGCTTTAAAAGCATATTTAAAAGCATTATTTATATAAACACGCCAATGCCGAGAAAGTAGAATTAAAATATTTGGCTGACTTTCGACTTTGTGCAAGCCTGTGTTTGATATTCAAATTGCATTTTCCATACCTCCTGAACAGGCGTCTTATGGGCAGTTTACATGTTGGATGACGGAGTGATTTTGATGTATTGAAATAAGTCATTAGGCTAAAAGAAAGTTTAAATGCTGGTTACAGTTAATTTCACATAACTTTTCCCTGAATGTTGCGAACTTCGTTCCGAACTTCGTTCCGGACTTCGTTGTGAAATTCAAAAGTTCATACTGATATTCACAAGCCGGTTTGTAAACAAAGCCTCTAATTGGCTTATTTTTGTTAAGGGACCATTCAGAGGCTTTGTTTACAAACCGACTTGTGAATTCCAACATTCACGGAAAAGTTATGTGAAACCAACGGTAACAGAACTCAAATGTTGTAGAGAAGATCTTGTAGTTCAAAAAGAATATTATTGCTGCTTGAACAATCCGTTTCGCTTACAGTTAACCATAATGTCTATAATCTATTTGTAGAAAATAATGTAGTTTTTTGCTGAATCGTGACTTATTTTAATAATCCCAAATCACATCTCCTCCGGGAAAAGCGGGATCATACAAACAGCCCATTATTCGGCAAATTGTAATTGCTGCTTTGATCCTTCAGTGGTGAGGCAGCACTTTTCTTGCGATAGTAACTTCTAGTACACATTATTGTATGGCTCTCTACTGACCTGCGCAATTCGTTCCATTGCCTGTGTAGCCAGTGTCGCAAGTACATAGGTATGATCCTTCTGTATTAGTACATGTTGCTTGAGCGTGACAGATGTTTGCTTGTGAACATTCGTCGATGTCTAAAACAGAATAGTAATTTTATTAAATTTTCCAGCACATAAAGCATGATCAGACATTAAGAGGACTTTCCTGACGGTCAAATGGAAAATGTGTCAACATCCTAGTGAGCCAAGATATCTCTGAGAGAATGAAGTGAAAGGAACGAACTTACCACAATATATTCAAATCTATTAATCGCTTAATCATTAGTAATCTAGAAATTGCTGTTGACTTGTGGCAGCAACCTTTGTCCAAGTCGTTTACAAAGAGTAAGAAATCAAAAAAAGCGCCTTGTTGTTCTGTAAACTTTTTACGAAATTTAAATGTGCGAGATATACCGAATCATAGAGAGATAGATCTGAAATTAAAGCTTCCAAAAATCAAAACCATTTTTTTTTCGCGCCAGCTTGTACTCTCAAATAGCTGGGTGAAAATAGGCAAGCGGAATTAGTACCCCCGTCCCGTGCTCACGACCGGAAAGGAGCCTCGCGCCGTTGGCTCGAGGAATATCTAGCCTTGACCTACAGCAGCAGGCTTAACCAAGACGTACGGCGAGCGCCCACTGTCTCTCTTCGTTAGTTACTTGTATGTGTAGATATTAAAACATTATTTTATGGCTTTCTACTGACCTACGCAATTCGTTCCACTGCTTACGTAGCCACTGTCGCAAGTACATAGGTATGATCCTTCTGTATTACTACATGTTGCTTGAGCGTGACAGATGTTTGCTTGTGAACATTCGTCGATGTCTAAAACAGAACGATAATTTCATTAAATTTTCCAATACAGAAAGCATAATCAGAAATTAAGAGGCTTTCCAGACGGGCGAACGGAAAATGTCCCAACATCCTAGTGGGCTAAGACGTCTTTGTGTGAATGAAGGAAAAAACAATGATCTGACCAAAACATATTCAAATCTTTTGAGTAGTAAGGTAAGGGTAAATCAGTAAAATAGGAATTGATGTTGCTTTCTGGCAGAAACATTTGTGCAAGTATGTTACAAAGTGTGTTTTACTTCTGTAAACTTTGTTACGAAATTTAAGTTTGCAAGATACACTGAAAACTGCAAGATGTATCTGAAATTAAAGCTGTGCAAAATCAACAACATTCTTTAGCGCGAGACTGAACTTGCACATGCGCATAACGTCGAAAGCTGTCCATCACATAATGGAGGACGACTTTGCACTTTGCTATGTTCTCAAATACCCGGGTGTAAACATCCGAGCGGAATTACTATGCTCGTCCCAGGCTCACGTCCGTAAAAGCCCTTTGTGCCGTTGGCTCGAGGAAAACCTACCCTTGACATATAGCAGCCGGTTTAACCAAGCCGTAAGGGGCGTGGCAAATATCATTCTCGGTTAGTTACTTGTATGTGTAGATATTAAAACATTATTTTATTGCTTTCTACTGACCTACGCAATTCGTTCCATCGCCTGTGTAGCCAGTATCGCAAGTGCATAGGTATGATCCTTCTGTATTAGTACATGTTGCTTGAGCGTGACAGATGTTTGCTTGTGAACATTCGTCGATGTCTAAAATAGAACAATGATTTCATTAAATATTTCTAATAGGACTTTTCTGAAGGCCAGACGGAAAATGTGTCAACATCCTAGTGGGCCAAGACGTCTTTGAGAGAATGAAGGAAAAGCAATGAACTTACCACAGCATATTCAAATCTATTAAGTAGTGAGCGAAGGACTTCACCTTTAGTAATATAGAAATTGGTGTCGACTTGTGGCAGCAACCTTTATGCAAGTCGTTTACAGAGAGTAAGAAATCGAAAAAAGCGCTTTGTTGTTCTAGCTGTAAATTGTTTTAAGAAATTTAAATTTGCGAGATATACCGAAAAACAGGAAAATAGATCTGAAATTAAAACTTCCAAAATCAAAACCATTTCTTTTCGCGGGAGCTTGTACTCGCACATGTGCATAACGTCGAAAACCGTTCATCACATGTTATATAGTAACGTTAAGAATTCAAGCGCTTTCATTGGTCGAGACCCATGATCCATTAGAGGACAGACGCATGGAATTACGTCACAATGAAGGTAGCCAATAGCATTCCCTTATTTGCATTGATCAGATAGATAGATAGATAGATAGTGTATTTAAAAATCACCTTGCAGCTAGACAGCTGAATTGCGTGATTTACAAAAACATATACAACATTATTTAAAAGATAGAATATGGGTTAATTAGGCATATTTACAAATGGTCATTAAAACGCTTAGTACTAAAAATTACATTAACTTAAGTTACTAGACATAGGAATAAAAGTTTTTTTAAATCTTTCTGTATTAGTTTCGAATCGTTCAAACAGTCTATTGTTCCTAAGTTGGTAAACCGACTCATGTTTGGGAGGCAGTAAATTATGCAGTTTGTTTGTCGGATTGTTAGTAGTATTTGTAAAAAGTTTGTTACACATTTCTTCGCGTCTTTGGAACAAAGTTTGAAGATTGAAATATTCTAAAGTTTCGCTATATGAGTTCGCGGGTAAAATGATCTTCAGTGCTCGCTTTTGTAGCGTCTCAAGATCTTCTGACAGGAAGGATGGGATTGAGTAATGGAAAACTGGGGCACAATATTCCAAAATGGGCCTGATAATCAAACAAAAACCATTCCTTCGTAGAAAAGGACAGGATATTTTGTGTTTGTCACGACCAGGCTCTTTATGCTGAAAATCACAACGGTTCCCTTTAGCGCACCATCCTCGGCGGGATAGAAAGGGGCAAGGGATAGAGCTTTTGGGAGAGTTGACGTACTTTTTATTTTTATCTTCGTTACTGACGCGGTTAAATTTTGTTTTCGAGTTTGAATTCCCGTTCTTGAGTAAGTTAATTTCTTTATTCTGGGCGATTAAGGGGTTTGGCAGTGGCTCGTCTGTCGTAAGATCTACTTTCTGTTTAATTAGAGGATTAGGCTGGGACTCGTCTGCCATACGATCGTCTGCCGTAAGATCTACTTTCTGTTTAGTTTGAGAATTAGGCTGGGGCACGTCTGCCGTAAAGTCAATATTACTTACAGACGGACTAACATGTTGTTGGTTATCGTGAGGTAGATTGTTATCGATATTTCGAGGTGAACTCAAACTGTTTTTATTCAAATTAATAGATTGCTTGCGGTTACGCGTTGAGGGTTCTTTTGTAATATTAGATAGGTTAATCGCTCCACTGCTTTTGTTCCGATACTCTTGGGACATGAAATGCACTAATTTTTCAAGGTTCAATAAGCTTGACCTAAAGGATAGATTTTCTTCGCTAAGTCGGGAAATAATTTCGTCTTCATTATGTACAACGGCTTCCATATCTACTAGTTTTACTCTTAGTGAGATAATATCCGACTCATGCTGGTTTTCAGACATTGCGGCAAGCATTCGTGATTCTAAAATCGTCATATCTAGTTTAATACCCTCCATATCGGCGTTAAGATGAGCACAATTACAGTCAGAAAGCTCGGGTTCATTCATGCAATACTTATCTGTAGCAGCGTGTTCGGTGTCTTTATTGTTTAATTGACCAGTAACTAGTGCTAGATGAATCAGTTTTTCGTTGATACTCTCCTTTAACTTCCCATTTAGAGTTATTGAACGAGTACTCGGATGCCATCTAAGATCTAAATCTACAGATTTGTATTGCTTCACGTCTCCACCTGGGCAACCCCATTCGCCATCAGTTGTCGGTAAAAATTCTTCGAAAAATTTCTTTAATTCTTCGAACGAATCCTTCCAGATTAACTTTCCTTTATTGTTTATCGAAATGCCGTGTATTAGGCTATTTCCTTTGCGCTTATTTGAGTCCATAACGTTATCGCACATCAAATATAATTTAAGCAGTTACTTTGATTTTACAACATTCCGATTTCCTGTTGGGAAAGAGCTTCGTCATTCCAAACGCGGCAACGTTTTGTAAAACGCGTGATATTTGTAAAAATTTTCCAAAAAAGTAAACTATTTACCTGTTTACTGTAATTCAGGGTTTTTCTTTTTATATCTTATCCATT